GTAAGTCTGAAGTTTGTCATTTTGTTTCTTTCAGTAATGCTGTAATGAATGTCCTTGCTCATAGTGTAGTATAACTCAAATCTCTAAGTCTGTAGAACTGGAGCTGCGAATCCAAAGGTATACGGTAAATGTCACCTGAAGGATAGAGACATAGCTCAGGTGGCAAGAATATCTGCTACCTTGCACGCTTGACAGCCTGGGTTCAATCCCTGGCATCTTGTAAAGCCAGCAACGGTGTGGGACATGCTTATGATCTCATCAGCGGAGGCAAGAAAACCAAAAACTCAAGGTCATCTTCAATTTGTGGCCAGCCTAGGCCACATGAGACCCTGCTTCAATCAGTCAATATCAACCGATAATGTCAAATGGTTTACAGAGGCTTATCAAATTATATCAATTTACCCATTTCAAATAGGTAAACACATCTGCCAAATACTTTTAAATCATACTTTGAATTCTTCATCAATCTAACAGATAAACTGTATTGCTATTGTTATAAGTAAGGCTAGGAACTATTTACTTATTTATATTTTATGTATGAGTGCTCTGTATGTAAACCTGCAGGCCAGAAGAGGACATCAGATCCTTTTATAGATGATTGTGAGCCACCAGGTCGGTGTGGGAATTGAACTCAGGACCTCTGGAAGAGCAGCCAGTGTGCTTAACCACTGAGCCATCTCTCTAGCCTCTACAAGCTATTTCTTTACTGGCCACTTGAAATTTATTTATTGTAAAGTTCCCACTTTACTATGGAAGCATTTTTTTTTTACAAAAAAACTTACCATACATGATATCCTCTGTCATTTTAAAAGATTTGCAATAAAAAAGTTTTTCATTTTTAAACACTCAAACTTATTGCCCCTTGTAATTTCTGACTTTTCTTTTATGTTTAGAAAATCCTTTGCCACTTCAGTGAGTTACCACATGAGCAATACCATTAAAACAAGCTCCCATGCTTACATCTTCTCTAGTGTATTTAAATCTGCTAATTCAGCATCATGTTGCTGTGGAGTGAGTTTCATTTAACATTCTAATACTTCCTAAGAAATACTTTTATGTTCCAAAACATTGTACTTATTGTTAAGGTTTTCTTTGTATCTCTAAAATGAAAGGCTTTGCTTTCTGAGCTTTTGAAATATCAAATTGGTTTGATACCAAATGCAAGTGCAATTGCTGAATCAGAGGGTGTGCCCGTGTGGACACCAACACATACTGCTAGGAACATTTGAAAAGAGTGTGCTGAGCACTACTGAGCAGCTCGTCTCCATTTGGACCTTGCACACACACACACATACACATCACTATTTTATTTAAGGTCATTTATTTTTCAAACACAAAACTCACTTTTTCATTTCTATTTTATTTTAGTTTTTCGAGACAGGGTTTCTCTGTGTAGCCCTTGGCTGTCCTGAGACTCACTCTGCTGAGCAAGCTGGCCTCGAACTCACAGACATCACCTGCCTCTGCCTCTGCTCCTGAATGCTGGGATTAAAGATGTGTGTCATCACCACCCAGCACATTTTTTATTCTCACAAACAAAATATTAGCACAACTATTCTGCTACAATTTAGGGAATAGTTAGATGACAAATTCTAAAGTCAATTTTTAATTGCTCATAAAATCTGACTCAATATTCAGGAATAAAAATTTTCAAATAAATATTTGGTGATTTCAAAAGGATGAAGTATCTGTAACACAATACAGTCTTAATGGAAGCATTAAATTATTTTTGAAAAATTATCATACGAACAGCTAACACATGAACAGCCAAATGATGTTTTAAAGAGTTAATTATCCTAACTCATTTACTGTCCTAAACTCCATAATAAAGCTACTGTGAACACAAGTTCCCAAAAACAAGCTGCACCTTCAAAACGAGCCTCCTGCAAGCCTGAGTGATGGGAACTTCACTGACTGTGGAGGGTTGGAATGTTGCAGGTCTAGAGCCTAATTACAATTTATCTTAGGCTATCTTTAGCCCTTACAGTCACTCCTTGCCCAAGTCAGAGTGAGACCTAGCTAGCTAGCACCCAGTGACTAACAGATAAAAACTGTCTGGAATATCAACTTACAGTCTTCATTCGCAACAACCATATCCTGGCCTATAGCAGACAGAGTTGTCTCGGCTTTGCTTGGCCAACTACTTACTGTTTCCACTAATTTTTTTTTAAAGTGATTTATGACACTTTGTTTTGTTATAAAAACTTCAGCAAACTGTTACCACGCTGGAACACAGAATTTGGGGTAACCTCAATCAGTGTTCCTGGACCACAGCAACTCATATTTGGTTTCAGAATCGGCTATCTCCTATTCCATTTGAGGTGAGAGCTGTGTTGTGTTGACAAGACATCATTGTCCATCTTTACAAAGGTGACTATAACGAGACCAAAGCATAGAGCAGTTAAATGGACGACCAGCGGTTCTTATTTAAATCCCCAAATACAAAGTTTCCGTGAAGATAAAAAGTAGGTGTGCAGATTGGGCAAGGGGAACAGCTGCTTGCTCAACGTCCTCACTATACACGACTTCACCAAGGAAGCCGCCTTTCCTTAGACCTACCTAGTGCTGGGTACTCAACAGGGCACTGCATTAAATCACCAGGTCCCCAAAGAGTTCTCAGAACCTGCAGTTATTACGCCAGGAAGACCTTCAAGGCGGCGGCTATCCTGTCTCTGAAATGAATATGCAGACTCCTCTCACCTACAGCACTAATTTCACAAACCACAGAGGATGGTGCCAGCAACTTTCACAGAGGAAGCAGACTGCTCACAGTCCTGTGCTCACACAACACCACTTTCATCTCTCTCTTTCCAATGATGAACACTGACCGGCAGCACCCTGCTCTCCGCTCTACTTCAACACACCGAGGGAGACAGTGAGCGCCACCCGATGTCAGAGGACTTTCTGAGGCTCTGACAAGCGCTTACCAGCTGGGCACCAGATCTCAAACACCTAACTTCTCCAACCTCATTTCTTCACTTGTAGTGAGGACAACACTATCTTTGAGGGGTGACTGACAGATTAGGTAACGCCCGGGAAAATGCTCCGCAAAAGTGAGCAGGCAGACAAACGCAAATACTGTTACTAAGAACAAAATTCTCTCTTTTCTGCCACCCCTTTTCTGTGGGAATAGCCAACAGATGCTTGTACTCTGGACAGTCTTGGGGAGGACCTCACTCCAGTCCCCCTCCCCAACACTTCAAACGCCAAGAACCCACTGAAAACTCACCTTAACAGTCACCTCACCAACAAACTGTCGCAACTGTAATTAGAAAAATCCCTGTATACATAATGTTTCTCACTCTGGTAAAGCAGTGCGGAAATAGAAAGTGAAATACAAAAAGCTCTTAGTACTTAACCCATATGAAGACTGATTTTTCCTAAGTCTCTCTCGCAAATGTCTCATCACCCCGGGGGCAAGTTTTCAAAGTCACATTCAACACCTTATTATTTACTCATAGAAAGATTTTAGGGCTCCCTATAAGTATAACCTTCCTCGCGGTGACTTTTGGAAATGGTTTCAAGGTCTGACATTCAACCCCGTCTCCTGACTTGTCTGTCCATTCACCTCAAACACTTCGCGAGCCTGTGGACTCCAGGACACTTAAGTGACAACAGACTCTACCTCGCGAAAAGGGCAGACGAGCTCAAGCTTTGGCTCAAATCCAAGGTCACACACGGCGAGACCGGGACAGTTGTTTTTCCAGGGCTGTCGCATAGGACGCGCGCTAAGCCAGCAGTCAGTCATTCCCCAGGAGAAACAGCAGGCAGAGAGCCGCATGCTCACACAGCCCTGCTTTCTCCTCACCTCCTCCAAGTGCCAATGGAACACTGACGCGCCACCACCACTCCGCTGTCAACGCTGGCACGAGCGTCTCAGGTCCCCACACCCCGCCAAGAGGCCCTTCTGGGCAATCGAACCGTGTGTTCCCCGAGCCGCGTACCACCAGGTGCCCTGCCGCCCCCGTCCGACCCGGGCAGGGCACGCCCTGGCCCCGCGGGCTATCCCCGCTGTCCTTACCAAGGAGCCGGAGAAAGATCTGGAGCCCAATGCACAGCCGGCTTTGGCTGGAATCGTAGTAGGAGTTGAAGATGGCGTCGATGATGTAAAGGCAGGGCACCCGGAGCGCCACTTCGAGCGCCGCCCAGACCTGCTGCTGGGCCATCCGCACCTGCTGCTGCGGGGGCCCAGCAGCAGGTCTGGGGA